GTCTCTTAGCGTACTCATGGCGCCCCTGCTTTTCACTGGGGGGATGTTGCACCACCTGCCTAGTCTTGTTTTCTTACGGAGTGATTTCCGTGTGCAGAGTAGAAAGTGTGTGTGAGGCCTCCTGTGTACTTCCCCCATTGCTAACAGTGACTTCAATCCAATCCCTGGACCCACTATGTGCTTCTGTAATCTTCTGTTTACTGCCAAAAGGATGGGTACGGGATAACTACTGCCCACATCATGGGTACGGGGTGCATAATATAACCAATAAACTACTGCCCTGATGATCGTAACTTCCTTGTAAACATTAATTCCCTTAACAATGTTATGGTTATTCAGCAGATTAGTTAATTACCCTCCATGGGCAGTCGTGTGTTATTTCTGCCACTTGATGGCCTCAATTCAGCCATCTCAAGATAACGTGAACTATTTTCATCTAAACGGATATAATTTAGCACTTAAAAATAATAAGGAAATACATATTACATACTTCAGTGAAAAAAAAATGTACAGAACTCCCCTAGTTCCACTGCTAAAACTTGTGATAGTAATCTTTTACCTAGTAATACTACAGTGACTTGTAAGCTCATCTTATCTAGTAACACTAGAGTGTCTTGTAAGATTAACTTCGACGAGTTTACGATTACAGAACTGCTACCACTGTACTACCAAGAGTGGTCACTGTTGTTGTTCTTGATTTACCGGTACTTTCCCGGCCCGGGTCTTTTCCAGATGGCGACCAGGCCTTGGCTCCCTGTCTTGGGAGTGTCTTGAGACCTATGTCTCCCATGGGAAGTGGTACAAGTACCTCCTCATCGTCTGGGACCAACTGTCCCCAGGCCTAGCCCCATTCTCCGCCCACACGGGGCTCGTAGGAAGACACTAGGCCTCGGATCTGCCATCTTCCCCGCCCCAGGGAAATTCGTGGGAATGGCAATCTTGTGAGCTGCAGGTGGTAACAACCTCTAGCTCTGGCACCTTCCCCGCCCTAAGAGGGCTCGTGGGAGTGGCGTCAAGTGGTCACTGTTAGGATACCACAGCCCAGCTGATAGAGTAAACTGACTCGGAAGAATTTATCAAGTTCTCTCTCTCTCTCTCTCTGGAAGACTGCTAGGGACCGGTCGATGCTTTCTTTTATGAGGGGGGGAAGGTATTGAAAAGTCCGGGTCCCTGCACACTCATTGGAGAGATCTCTTCGTGCAAATGTTGCACCCTTGTTTTGCAGAGATGATATTTTTCACTGACGAACCAGGAGTGATTTCATTGTATAGTGGATGATGGAATGCGAAGATGAGTGTAGAGCTTACTGTGTGTAGAGCTTACTGTGTGTAGAGCTGGGGTCCCTAAACTTCAGCTCATCGACACCTTCATGAAGCTTTAGAGTTTAGATTGTTCATTGACCCTCAAACATTTCTTACATGAAAATAATTTAATAAATAGTACTTTAACTAATAATACGACGAATAATAATGGAAGATAATAATTATATTTTCACAAAAAATAGGCAATATTTAAATTTTGAAAAAAAAAAAAAAAAAAAATAACATACCCTTTTTTTTTTATATTGAAACTGTCGATATCTTTAATGGGAAGGACGCATCACATAAGTGTCAACAAGGACACTGACATTTGCTTGGAGAGATGACAGAGACAAGGGGGAGGGTCGAAGGTCACACATATACAACACAAAGCACGACCCCCAACATTTGCTCACTCTCCCTTTTGACCCCCAGCCATTTACTGACCCCCCTTTTGACCCCCAGCCATTTACTGACCCGCTCTTTTGACCCCCAGCCATTTATCGACCCGTTCGATAGTCCCATCAACCCTTAGGGGATCGATATTGACCACTTTGGAGAACCCTGGGGTAGAGGTTACTTTGTAAATCACTTTGACTTTCTGGGGAGGGTTATCCTAGGTAATCTACACATATGTTGCAATGTATGATAATTTATGTAACTATATTTATGTGTTCCTCTACCTGAATAAACTTACTTGCCCTGTACCAATGCCTTTCCTTCCAGTTCACAAGTCTTTGATACGCCACTTAATTCCTTCACATATATCTGTCGACCACTCTAGTGCTGGTTAAGTAGCTAGCTGCCAGTGCGTTCACGACGTGTCTATGCATTAATGCTGGTAGAATTACCGACAAAATGTGTATGGCAACACCAAGCTGAGATCATGAACACCTGCGACAACATTCGGTGAGCAAAAGCCTAATCTAATCCAACAGACAAACAGAGCGAGTTGCTAAGGAGGCTGCCAGGCCTAACAGAACGAGGTATCCTAGGAGGACTCAGATGAAATTCTAGTGCTTGATGATTAATAGCATAATCAAAACTAAGAGGTAAACGCACCAGGGTCATACAACGCTGCCTGGTGCTACATGCGTCCTAGTAACTGCACCTGTGTCTCATTTACATGATTCTAGATATCGGATGATGTCAATATTGAAACAGAGAGTATCCCGAAGAAAAAAAAATAGCTGTACTAAGAGCGTAGATAAACTAGCATCGTAGGTTCTTCAAGTGTTAAAATTGATTCATTATCCAGTGGTGGTGATTTATTTACCAATGGTGATTTAACCAGTGGTGATTTATTGTCCAGTGGTGGTGGTGATTTTATTATTTAGTGGTGTAGAATACCAGTATAGTTGGATGTGAATGGTACCAGCCTATTATAGGCCAGTAGGCCTAACAAGACAACAACAGGTTGATAAATTAGACACATGTGCAACTCTTGGGTATCTTTATTGAGGAAGAGTTGCACATGTGTCTAATTTATCAACATGTCGGTTCTCCGAACCATTCATCCACAACAACAGGTTAATGAATTAATGTTAAAGTTCACTTAATGTGTTCAACAGTGTTGCAAATATTTAATGATTATATTGATTCTTCCACTCTCCCTCTGTTGTTGTACCCACGTGTGTTATTAATAGTCTCGGCACCTCTCACTGTGTGTGTGTGTGTGTGTGTGTGTGTGTGTGTGTGTGTGTGTGTGTGTGTGTGTGTGTGGGGTGTGTGTGTGTGTGTGTGTGTGTGTTTTGTTGTGTGTGTTAGTTAGTTACCATTTTGTCCTAGGCACATGTCGATGAGACACTAGGCCTGTTTGGGGTTGGTGTGTGGTGTGTAGGTGTTAGGTGTGTAGGTGTGTAGGGGTGTGTGGTGTGTGTGTGTGTGTGTGTGTGTGTGTGGTGTGTGTGGTGTGTGTGTGTGGTGTGTGTGTGTGTGTGTGTAGTTAGTAGTAGTAGTTGATAGTTACTAGTTGAAGACACTTGTCGACACACACTTGGCCCGTTTCGTGTGTATATGTGTGTGTGTGTGTGTATGTGTGTGTGTGTGTGAACATACCAATTTGTGGTTGCAGGAGTCGAGTCGCAGCTCCTGGCCCTGCCTCCTCGCTGGTCGCTACTAGGTCCACTCTCTCCCTATTCCATGAGCTTTATCGTATCTCGTCTTAAAGCTGTGTACGGATCCTGCCTCCACTACATCACTTTCCAGATTGTTCCACTTCCTGACAACTCTATGGCCGAAGAAATACTTCCTAACATCCCTGTGACTCATCAACGTTTTCAGCTTCCAGTTGTGACCTCTTGTTGCTGTGTCCCATCTCCGAAACATTTTGTCACTATTCCCCTTGTCAATTCTTCTCAGTATTTTATGTCGTTATCATGTCTCCCCCCCCATCCCCCCTGTCCTCCAGTAACCTCACGTTGATATCTCTTAACGTCACCTAAATTACTGGGAACGCTTGGAAGCACACAACTTGTACTCGCCGGAACGCAGACTAGAAATATACCATAATCTACGGAAAACACAATAAATGTCCGGGGCCCAAGACTGTTCAACAGCCTCCCTACCATGCATAAGGGGAATCACCAATAGACCCCTGACTGAATTCAAGAGGGAGCTGAACAGATACTTAAGTCGGTACCAGATCAGCCGGGCTATGGTTTGTACGTTGGACTACGTGCGGCCAGCAGTAACAGCCTGATTGATCAGGCTCTGATCTACCGAGAGGCCTGGTCGTGGACTGGGCCGCGGGGGCGTTGATCCCCTGCAGGTAGAAGGTGTTCCGGGGGCTAACGCCCCCGCGGCCCGGTCCATGACCAGGTCTTGAGGTGGATCAGGGCCTGATCAACCAGGCTGTTACTGCTGGCAGCACGCAAACCGACGTACGAATCACAGCAAGGTTGGTCAGTTACTGACTTTAGGTGCCTATCCAGCGCCTTATAGAAGGCAGCCAGGAATCTATTGGTAATCTCCCTTTTGTATGCTGGGAGGCAGTTGAACAGTTTTGAGCCCCTGACACTGTGTTGTCTCTTAACGTGCTCATGGCGGGGATGTCGCACCAAGTCAGCGAAAAACAGAAAATCTAAGAGATACAGAGAGGCAGAGCAAGTGCACCGTATGGTATAACAGTGCACTGCATGGTATAACAGTACACTGCATGGTATAACAGTGCACCGTCTGGTATAACAGTGCACCGTCTGGTATAACAGTGCACCGTATGGTATAAAAGTGCACTGTATGGTATAACAGTGCACTGTATGGTATAACAGTGCACTGTATGGTATAACAGTGCACTGTACGGTATAACAGTGCACTGTATGGTATAACAGTGCACTGTATGGTATAACAGTGCACTGTATGGTATAACAATGCACTGTATGGTATAACAGTGCACCGTCTGGTATAACAGTGCACATCACAACCATAAACAACTGTTATGTACTGGAAATAGCGCAGTAGATACTCTGCATAACAATAAGGTTCATAATTACTACTATTATCTACGCCAGGAAGTGTTTAACATATTAAGATCAGGTTACTCCCGTGAATCAAAGGTAATCAGACTTGATCCAAGGAAGGGGGAAAATAGCTATAATTCCTTGGATGAGGAGCCCTTGACTAACATGAATGCACTACCCCCTTCCCTCGTTCCTTGAAGAATAACAGCTACAAGCAGGAATACAATGATATGCACTTCCTTACCAGCCATGTCTGTCTCTCTCTTTGTCTCCTTTGAAGTATTTTTATCTTAAGGTTGTCGAGAGGGCACTACAACGATGTGTATTTGTTGTGCTTGCTCTTGGCGAGGTGCCCACCTGTCCTTTTCGTGCAGTCAGTGATCCCTTCTCTCACTCGTAAAGTTCTCACGCGTTCACTAGTCTTGCGAGATTAGATAACCGCTATTCTTGTCAAGTTTAGTCACTTTTCAATGGCTGTTGTCACTTTGAGGCCTTGGAAGATAATATAAAAAAAATTATCTTTTTACTAGGAGGCTATTTACTGTGCTGCCTTTGTTACGCAATCTTTCACAGTTGCTAGGTTCATTTTCTTACTATGAAACACAACAACTCTACCAGGATGACAACATAACACCCTGAGTACCTCTTGAAGACGTCTGGGCTGTCGCCAGAGCAGTCTTGGAGAGCACCGGCCAACAGCGCCTTTGACTTCATTCGCTCGCTATATATCGCTTAGCAAACTGGCTCTAACTGGCTGCATGTAGTGATCACGTGACAGATGGTCTTGTTACGTATCTACCAGTTACCCACAAGGTTAAGGGAGGGAGGGTTCCACTAGCTTGGGTCGGGTAGTGTAGGGGGGGTTATTATTATTGCAATCAAGGGGGAAGCGCTAAACCCGTAGGATTATACAGCGCCTAGGGGGGATGTGGAAGGCATTCGGGCTTAATTCGGGGAACTGGAGAACAGATCCAATTCCCTAAATCAAGAGCCCCTCATCAACATTAAGGAACCTTCCGTAAGGGAAGTGTAGGGGGGAGGATGATACAAAGATCTGGGGAGAGAGGATACTAAAAGCATGTTGGGGGGGGAGGGTGAAAGAGGGTGCCCGGAGGGTGTGTGTGTGGGGTGGTTACAGGGGGAGGAGAGTTTGTATGAGGGTGCGAGGAGAGTGTGTGTG